CGTTTCTGTGCAGTATTTATAGACTTAATTCAATAGGATAAAGGATAGTGGTCCAGTGAAAAACAATGTGTGGGTCCCTCTTGCAACATACTGGGAATTAATTGCATAGATTAGGTAAACTTGACCTATATTTCTAGCAGAACCATCACTAGAGGAACACAGGTTATTGAAAAGAGCTCTGACATCCAGTCAAAATGACTGTGTTTGTTGAACCAACCCTGCTTATAGATTAACTGTGGTTGCAGATCTTGTCCATGCTATTGGATTTAATATCAGTTAGAATAACTAATTCCAAGCTTCTTTGGAGCTCTGTGGTTTTCTGGGTCTTTGCACTTTTTTAAAAAAAAGTTTGCATCATGCTGAAGGTTGATGACATCACCTTGCACATGGATAAATCATACCTAGACTCTTAATAGAATGATGTTGGAAATGTAATGTGGTGTACATTTTTTTTTTTTGCCTGTACGGGTTATGGAAGTTTAAGCCATTTAAACATCTTTGGATGGGTTTCAATGGTCACACATTCAAACTAAAACTAACCTTGATGCTGTCAGATTCTTGGCTTATTTTCTAACATGGAAGCAGAGCCTTTGGCGTCATTCTCTGTGACACTGATTTTGGTCAGAAAAAAACTCCTTATCTGTAGTAAAAATATGCACAAACTGGGCCAGTCTTGTGACAAGGGTGCCCATCAGCTATTGCATTCCATCCAGCTCTCTCATTAAGATTATTGACATCCTGATGTTCATATTGTACCAGAACCATATCCAGGGTAAGCTTTGGGAAAAAAAAATTATAGAGTTGTCTTTTTCAGTGAAAGATGATGTCTGTTACCCTTTGTTGGTGAAAGCACATTGGCTATACATGTATTGATTCTGGTGGAGGTGCAGGTGTTCTCTGAACATTGTTTTTTCTCTTTTTATTCCACACTGGATGGATAAATAGCAATATATGTAGCCAGGTACTGCTAAGATGATGATGATGATGATGATGATGATGATGATGATTGTAGCATTTATTCGGTACTGGTGTGAGTCAAGCACTAACCGTGGAATGTTACATCCACAGAACTAGTCTGTATACATATGTGTCATCAATATGTCAGAGGAAATTTTGTAAAGCAGGATGCCAATTTCCCCTCTTATAGTATAATTTTCTGCCTTTGCTGTGTAGGTGTGTATATTAATTGCTTATTTTTTATTTATATTCAGTAAAAAAAGATTTTTAAAAGTGAGGTTGTATCAATTCACCAGAATAACATGTCACAGTGTAGAACTTTCTTGCGCATAGTAGAAGCTCATTAAAGACTGGTTATACGAATGAAGAAGTGAAACACTGGCATAAGGCCTTTCTTCAGATGCTTTTATTGACAACAGACCTTCCTTAGTTTTAATGGCATTCATGATCATTATGGTGCTACTCATGTGCAGAGCCTTGGCATCCGTTCCTTCCACTTTTGGCATTCTACTGAATGTTGGTATTAGTTATGTTTGATCCAGGTGACCGCAGTTAAAGAAGAAAATGTGAGATTCTACATATGATCTTCTACATGTTTATAAAGTGTCAGGCTCTTAGATTAAAGCTTAAACAAAAATAGTCATGAAAACATTTCTGTTCCCCAAAATCCTAACCAGAAAATTTACTTAAATGCCCACGTCTGTTCTTCCAACAAAATAGTTCTCTGGCAATTTTGGCATTTTCATGACAGCTCAAGAATCTTACAGAATGCCTTTACATGAAGTTTACTATAAAGAGTTTAATTAAAGGGGAAATCTCCTAGTAGAGTGTTTCTTATACACTATTGAACGATTACATTTTGGAGGGTGGTGGTAATTAAATTAATGTAAAAATGTCTCATTGATATTTTTGTCACCTTGGGAAAATTTCAAACTTGCTAAAGATATTAGTATGTACATTCTATTCATGGCATTGTTGCTGTCATTTCTGAAATGATTACATCCCAATTACTTTTTTTTTACTTGCTTTAAACTTAAAGGTTCAAAATTTTTCTTAAACTTTAACAGAATAATTGTTTTGAAAATGAGTTATATGCTTGGTTTATATAGTATTGCGTAGTATTTCAATATTTATACATCTTTTGTGGCAACTTGACAAATCAGTCATCACCACAGTATACAAGTGGTTTTCATTTACTGAACAATACCCAGCTTAAAAAGAAGAAACAGTGCATACAGGCAAAACATTTCAGTTTCAATAAGTAAATCTCGACTGTGTTGTTTCATCATAAAGTACCCATGCTAATCTGGGTTAATATTAATCTTCCTCTTGTTAATTTTTAGTCTAAGCATTATGAAGAAAGTGACTAATACGGTGACACTCCAACTTATTGAAAAAATTTAACTTTCATTTCCCTTTCATCAAAGAACAAAATTATTGCTGAAATTTGAATCAAATCTGACCTTTCTTTCCCAGTTGGTAGCACAGTGATAAATATGTGTAACACACACACAAACACACTGAGGGCATATCGATTTTGATGGTGATGATGAAAGACAGCATAATATTTGGTGAGTTACATTTTGCCTTTCTCCTCTCTACCTTTCTTTGCCATCTCCACAATCCTAATTGTTACTGTGTTCAACTCTAAAGTAAACTAAAGAAATAAGAAACAGCATGAATATAAAGTGAGATAGCAATTATTTTGCTCACTTTCTTCATAGTTTATAGCATTGTTGATCAATTTCCTGTAGCTTGATTTACAAACTATGGACAGCCTTTGCTAACTACTACCCCCAAAACTATGTTTAAAATAGTATTTCCACTAAAAAAAAAAACTACAGTAACTTTTATTTTGTGCATTTGTATATAGTCTCTTCTTTCTCCTTCATCCTTCAAACTGTAACAGTTGAAATTTGGCCAGAATATTTATTAACCAAATGTTGCAGAAAAGATATTTGTTAAAAATAGTTTGGGTTATTTGCAAAAAGGAAAGAAATTGGAACAGATCAAGATTAAATGGCAGTGGAAGAGTCGGGTTAGTTTTGGTGAACAGAAAGCTGAAGCAGGGTTGATTTCCTGGCACTGCTTTCTCAGCAAAGAGAACAATTTTAATCAGTTACAAAAATATTTGTGATCCATATGTTCCTCTCTGCTCATTCCCATATGCCCATATTCTTTTTATCTTGGTAGATGATGACTTTATGATTCAGGCATGCAAGAATAATACCTCGCTGACTTTAGAGCTCCGTGCTATTTCAAAACGTGTCCTGGTAATTACGCACACACATATACCCATGCTGTCCCCACTTTGAGTTAGTTATGTGAATATCAGTTTGTTCTTTCTCTCTTCCTGGAAGGAATTATATCTTGCATCCTCCTACTGAGGTTGGAATAATGTATCTAGGACTTAGTTTTGAAAATTACATTGCGGTTCACCTGCTGGATTACATGCCACTGTACAAATATGAGGGTCTGAAAGAGAAGGCAAAAGAGTTGCTGCAATTCTTGAGAACTTCATTTAACTTGGAAAAAGGAAAACAGAATCCAGAATGCATTTCATAACCATCTCTGACATCTATTCTAAGACATATTGGATAAGGATCTTCTTAGTTAAATAGATTCTAACTTTTAAGACATGACAATTTTTATTTAATATTGAGTACTAGCTAGAGTAGCTATGGTAAAACTGATCAAAATTGAAAAATAAAAATTTCTATTGATTAGCAATCCAGTTTTGTCCTAAATGTACATTTAGCTCTCAAAAGCCATGTAATATCCAAAAACAAAAGAAACATAGTTTTAAGTCTAATCATCCATCTTAATAAAACATGAATAAATCCAGAAACTATTGACTGTACAAGTGATTGCATTTCCAACAGTTGTTTTCCCCTCGAACAACAAATGGCTTTGTAACCCAATATGTTATTAATATAGCCACAGTAAAATCCTATGAGGAACCAGCTGTGCTCATTTAAACTTGGGAGAAGTGGGTAGCAAGGAGGAGGGAGAGAGGGTTTCTAACCTTCAAATTAAATAGCTGTGATGCATTTAGTGTTTCCATAGACAGGTATGTAATGGAAGAGGTGTGCATGCTGTTGCATTTAGCTGTTGTACACCAGTTACAGGGAAAAGGAAGAGATGCAGCCTGATTTTGGCAAATGTTATTAGGAGCCTGTCTCTATGTTTGCATTCAAGCTGTCTTTGCCGCTGCTCCTGTAGGAGTTGTGAGAAAAAGAAAGTGCACATTATAGCGTGGATTGTTTTCAACAGCCTTGAAGTTTGCAAATCTGTTGAATCCCTCTGTCAGTGCTGCTTTGCTGTCAAACAGAATGCCCAGCTGGTGGTGGCAATCCCAATGGGGAGGGCGGGCTATGGATAGATTGTGTTCACCCTGCAACAAGAATATTAGGAATGCTTCTTCCCAAACTGTAAGTGGAGAGAAAAGAGTTTTTTCAGCCATGCCATTATAAAAGTTTTCTTTTTCTTTTTTTTTTTCTTTTTTTTTTTTTTTTTTTTTACTTTTGTAGAGAATGTTTCATTAAATCAAAACCTTTCAATTCACGTTATTCAGGTAACTTTTGTAAATAAAGAAACCACAGAAACAGCTTTAAATATATGATATAATCTATAATTAAGACAAAGGCTGTGGTTAGAAAAAAAGGCAAGACTTTTGCTCATAGGTGATCTTGATTCTCATTGAGGCAAACACACAAGCTTGTTTTTTTTCTTTTCTTTTTTTTTTTTAACACAAAGTGCCAGATTTCACTAAAAAAGGTTAAAATTGAAGTGAGTAATCTTCGGTGCATAATGCAATTGTTAATTTTAGCTCCTTGCGTGGGTGCCGTTCTGACTTGAACAGCCGGCTGTAGCCTTCATTAGAGAAGAAGCAGGCAGCTTGAGACAGGTGGAGCTGGATCAAGCTGTGAACGTGATTTGCTGGAAGCTGGTCATTAGTGTTAGAAACCCCGTCTTATTTATTTCATCCTTCACCCTACCATGATTATTGCAAATATTATTATTTACTTTTCATCTTTTTTCAGGTTGACGATGTGTCACACTGTGTAAGGGAATCGCATGGAGATGGGCATTCCGAACTGTTAATGGGGACATGGGACTCCAGTTGTCTCTGATCACTTGTGTGGATTTTCCTGGTGTAGAACGACAGAAGCCGCTAGTAAGTCGCCAAGACCTACAGCAGGAATTCTGCACGAAAGGTAAAGGTCTTGTTGTCTGGTTGTCATCTCATTTGTATTTTAGATTTATCATTACATAAATGTGCCTGCTTGCATACACAGTTCACTGAATGTAACCATGACAGGATCTCTATCAGAGACTCATTTGGCTTGTAGTTTGGAGAATTACAGCTCCATTTCTTCACTCCATTTTAAATCTGGTCACGGTCTGTTTTTTTACTTAAATGCTCTAAAAAATGAGTTAGGGCACCAGAAGTCCCCTGCCTAATGCACTGAGAAACAACCTGTTTGCCAGTGGAAAATGGAACTTTTTATTTTGTTAACACACAGACGGAGTGTCACAGAAATAGAAGAAATCCATCAGAATGTAATGGATGAAATATCCTAAAACCTCCTCAAACCTGAATGCATTGCTTACTAGGCACTTTACAGATTCAAACTACCGTCCTGTTGGAAAACTTCCTTTTACATTCCCACAATCCTTTGCCGAATAAGCCTGTGTATTTTATAGATATCATTCGATACCATCTGTTTTGTCATGGTAGATTTTAGCAAGATTGCTGTGGTTTAGATTTTTCTCATGCTTCCTATTTTCAGTTGAAATAAAGTTACTGAATTAGTAAGTGGTAATTGAACACTCTCAAAGAAACACATTAAAACTCTTATTTGTCCAATAATAATTTCCATTGTAATGACTGGGAATGGGACAGTGATTGCTTGGATTTTTTTTTGTAAAAGAACTAACTTTCTAAGCTCCAGCATCTCTCTCTCTCCTCCTTCTGCTTCTTTCTTTTTTCTTTCTTCTTTTCTCTCTCCTACTCCTTCCTCCTCCTCCTTCCTCCTTCTCTTCCTTCTTTTTTTTTCTTTCTATTTTTCTCACAGCTTAAAAAAGTGAGGAGGAAGTAAATGCTAATTTATTCATGAGCCTCATTTGACAGCACTTCAGAAGGGGAAGTGTCAGGGTTTTATAAAGGTAGGGAGAAAAAAATAATAACAGATTTTAACTCTGAAAAGCCATTTCCAGTGTCTGCAGCCTATTGTGAGCCTGAGGAAGTAGAGTTTAGTTGCTGTGGCTTCATGAGAGCTGCCTGCCAGGCTTCCTTCCACAGGATCTTGTCTCACCAGCAACTGGCAGGAGCTTGGGAGCTTGGGAGCTTGGGAGAGGGCTTATGCTCTTAGTAATGTAGCTGTCAGTTCAAAGCCTGCAAATGTTGACCCTGAAAGGTTTATTGCCAAAATTAGATCCCATATTTACACTGAATTATTACTTCTTCAGTAGATTTTTACCCTTGTAGACTACTGTATTCCTTATACCTAGGGAAGCACGCTTATGTTTGGAAGCTGCAAATAATTTTTCAGTCATCTTAGATATGCTGCAGAACATCAATACCACATCTTGAGTCAGAAGTCAAGGGTCAGTTGTCAAAAGTTGGAGAAATATCCTCTTTTGCGGCTTCTTCTACTTTGTAGTGGAGAATGGGGGACTAGTAGTTGTGTGGGAGTTATGTGCCTCTAAGATTTGTTGATCCATTTTGATGGCAAGGTGTATTCACAAGTGTGTGTAGAGGGTGTGTGGATGGGACCACTGCATCTGTCTCTTGTGCATGCCTTGGCTACTTAAGTTCATCTTCTTTTTTTTCCGCCTTTCGTATAAAATTCTCAAAATTGCTCTTTTGGATTTGAATATGAAAGGATAAATGAAATAGTTAAAGAATTATAGAAAATGCTTCACTTTGCACTGACTTTATTTTCTGATATCTTAACTTTCTAGGGTATAAAATCTTGTCATTTTAATTTGCATCTGGGAGAATGTCTGAGCAAGGAGACCTGAATCAGGCCATAGCAGTGGAAGGAGGGACTGAGCAGGAGACGGGCACTCCAGAAAACGGCATTGTTAAATCAGAAAGTCTGGATGAAGAGGAGAAACTAGAACTGCAGGTGAGTGAGCATGAAGAGATGCTGATTCTCATACAACTGTGTGTAGCTCCTTTCTTTTATTTTCAGAATACTTTACAGATTTATTTTTTAAAGAGTTTCACTAGTTGTATCATTAGGAAATTCGTAATGCTAGTCTCCTACTTTTTCAATATTTGCCACGTTTTGTCCTAACTCAGCCACACTCTAAAATGTGTTTTGTGGAGGAAAAAAAATAGGAAAGTATTTATTTTCTGAGTTTGCACACAGCATCCCAGTACCAATATCTAGAACACCTCAAAGTGTACATGTAAGGCTTCTCCCAAGGCAGCTTTAGACTAGTTTTAAAATGAATTTTTAAAAAGAGTTTTAAAAATGAATTTTCTATTTCATGGAAAGATGAAGACTCAATTCATGGAAAACTAGGGAAAATCAAAGGCAGGTGTTCCTTTGACCTTCCTGGGCATGCTAAGGCTCAAATCTTACTAGCAAACAAGCCAAAGCCTAGAATTCCCAGCTGAAGAGAGAGTACTAGAATGGGGGAAAAAGATTGGGAGTGATTAAAGGGAGTGAAAAATGTTGTTAAATACATCATGATTTACAAGGGAAAGGGATTTGGTAGAAGGAAAGTAAACTGCACTTACAAATAGCTTGTAAGTATTGATTTTCTTTTACCTGAACTACAGAAGTGTTAACTCTTTATATACCAACAGTTAACAAAGGCAGACAACTGCATGATGGCCAAAAGCCTTCAAAGCTGGCTTTTTTCTTTTCCCCTTTCCAATAGTTGCTGTAAAGAGAAAAAAACTAAAAGTTAGTCAAAAGTTTTTAAAACCTAGGGAAGGAGGAGTCCTCCATAATGGTTGTGATATCTTGTTGCTGTTATTATGGATTTCTCTACTGTAGCCGGTAGTGACGTTGTCCTCTCTTTCTTGGTCTCTCTCGGTTGTTGGTTTACTGTTTGTTTTTGTTTGTTTTATTTTCTTTCCAACATACAGAGGCGGCTGGAGGCTCAGAATCAAGAAAGAAGAAAATCCAAGGTAGGATTCTTGACATTCTAGGTAGACCCGATATCACAGGTATAAATTGCATATTTTATATAAGAGTTAAAGGATTTACCAGCAGTTCAGATGACTGTGTCTGGATATTGTGGGGGGTCATGGTTGTACTGGTGCTGTCTGCTTTTGAATTGTTTGTGTTTATGCATGTCTTGCTTTCTGGCACTGTGTATTTTTTATTTAGAGGATTTAGTGTTCAAATGTCTGCAAATGTACGTATTTGATTCTATTTTCACACTTGGAGATTTGACAGTGATTTACAAAACAAATGGCCACTTGTTTTGTTTTTATTTAAAATAAAATTTGGAGTCTATGTTTTATGCTCACCACTTGATTTCTGCCTTGAAGTAAATAGATACCACTGCTTAGTACACACTCTTCATCCTTTTAACCATCTTCTCAGTCAAATCTCCTGCAAATTTAATTTTAGTAGGAATTAATTTTGTTATTTCTTTCCCCCTGATATTTTCATGAAATGACAGCAGTTCATTCTTTGTATGCTCCCAATGTGATGTGCACAATTTACTAAGAGTATTTTTCAAATTTATCTAGTCACATTCTTCTTTACTTTCATCCCCATCAATACAGAGGTATGCTGCTTTGAGCCAATGTAGATGGTACTGATTGGCAGACTTGAAATTTGGTTTTAAAAATCTCATTTGGGAAAGTTATGTGAATGTGGAGATGATTTGGCAGGCTGAGAATGTCTCCTGTTTGTTTTCTTTATTTTCCTTTTTCCCCCTTTTTCCCCCCTCCTAGTCAGGAGCAGGAAAAGGTAAACTGACTCGCAGTCTTGCTGTCTGTGAGGAATCTTCTGCCAGACCAGGAGGTGAAAGTCTTCAGGATCAGGTATATCCCCTTGTCATTATCATTACTTGCATGAATGGGATCCACCTTTGTGTGCATGACTGTTAATTTGGTGTTAAACAGTATTTTGGGGGAGAAAAATATAATTGAAGAAAATAATTCATTTTTTGGCTTCATCCCCTGCTTATGCAACATTCTAAAATAGTCTGATGGTTTGTCACAGAGTATTACGTTTGTTTTTTTTCCAGACTCTCTGAAAACTGCAAATGGAAAGGAATTCAAAAGAATTTAGATTAAAAGTTAAATAAAAAGTAGGCACAGTAGTGCTGAATTTCCTCAAAGGCTCTCTTTTGATAAGGCTGAACCAAATATAATCCCAAGTATCCTCTCTCCTTCCTTGTTGGAGATGTCTTACCTCTCAGCTCCCCAAAATGCACTTGCCTATAAGAAACACAATTGTTGGTTCATGTGAAACTTATGAAATAGTGAATAAGGTGCATTGAACTTTGGAGGAATACTTTTATGGCCTTTGGTAGAGATTTCTCAATACTGCAAAAATTGTCCAGAAATAAATCTGAGCTGATGCTGACTTTAAGTTAACATTATTAATATATCACTGCATATTTTACCCTTATTTTTGCTCCTTACATCAAGATTAGTAGGTTGTAAAAAGTTAAATTTCAACAAAACTCTTTGGTGACAAAATGGGAAACTTCACATCATACTTATTTTTGCTTGCCTTTTAGGCATCATATTAGCTTTTATAAAAAATGGTCTTGCTGCTGAAATTGTACTTATTATATCAGAGGCTGAGAGCAGTCAAGACAAAAGTAAAATGGTTTACCTGAGCCCAGGGGAGGGAACATTGATTAAGATATCATTATTTTTGTTTGGTTTGGTTTTGCATTTCTCTTTTTACTCTAATTGAAATACTCTGAATTCCCCTCATGGAAACAGAGAGCATTGAGAGCACTTTCTTTAAAAGGACCAAAAATAAATTTCTTATAGATTTTGTCCTAAGAGTGTTTTTTTTTTTTTCCTAGCATCATTTTCTTAACATGCCACTCATGTCATAAGGCATGTACAGGCTACCTTTCAGTGGCCATTATTATGTTTCATACACTCGCTTTATTTTACTTGGGCTCTGAGAAATGTGTGGCTTTCCTTCAGCATTTTATTTGTGCTTCTATTTTTAATGGAGATTGAAAAAGGGGAATAATGGAAATATCACGGCTTATATTATTAAATGTTGATCGATGGCTTGTAATGTGCTGCACACAATATATGTTAACTTTGCTGAATGACAAACCCTGGGAGAAGTAACGCCCCAGTTGTCCCCCACTCCTAATGCCAGGCGGAGAAGGACAACCTTTTTAGACTTAATCTGCTTTTTGTCCCATTTGACAAGGTACCAGGAGGAAACTTTTTAAGGGACCATCTGTATCATAGTGCCCACCTTGGACCTAAGTCTAGTGTCTCCATACAATTGGTGCAGAGAAATAAGGTGTACATGGTGCTTTGTTCCTGCTGGTTCCAAGCTCAGAAACCAAGACTAGCTCTGTAGGAAAGAATGAGAGCCTGCAAGCTTCTCTTTGGATTGGCTGGGGAGTGGTGGGAGCAGGGTCCTGATAGAAAATACCCAGACACACATATAAGCAAGTGGCCGTGCTACCTTTTTAGAAAATAAAGAAACAGACTTTTGAGTTTATATGCAATGCCTTCATTAGGTACCACCGGCACTTACAAAATGTGCGAACTGAATCCCAGAGAACGGTGGCAGAAGTATACAGTATACGGATTGTAACGCTTCCCCAATGTTTGTAAATTTACAGTATTTGGAAAACTGCCTTCATTTTCCAGTGTGGGAAAAACTCTTGTTACCTGTATTACTTGATCTCAGACCCATACCTGATGGTTCAGTCTGTCCTTAAGTTAAAGGAATTTTGCTTTTCTAATGTTATACTATTTACTTATCAGTGTATTACTGCAACTTGAATCACTCTTTTACTGTTGTTGGATATAAACTTATCCTGTACCAATGTATTTATTAACACTTGTATTTTATTATTGAGCATATCAATAAAAATATTAAAAAATAACAGATTGTTTTTTACCAACTCTATAGCACTTTTGTGTGTTCTTTCAACACCGTAATGTATATGCATAGAAAAGATAATTTTTTTCCTAACTATAGTATTTGTCAACACATGGCATCAGTTTTACATTTTTTTTTTGTAGCGGATATTCTTCAGCCTCTGCTCATGCATTTATAAGTCCAAGCCTCTATGATTTTAGATTCATACATACAGAGGCTAGATGTTTCAGTCAGTTTTGAAGAAGTGATGAGATGACTTTCATGGCCCAGCAGCCCTCAGTTTCCCCTGATGATTAACTGTCAAACTGAATCTTTCCCACCCCAGCCATGCCTTCTGGGCCAGAAGTGCCGCAGTGATTTCTTCAGCAAGTAGAAGGAACTCATGTCCCTAGAACCTGCCTAAACCTTTGCATATTAAGACATTTCTGTCCCAAGCTGCAATAAGTGACTCTATAATCAGATTGCACTCAGTTTTACATATTTTATATGAGTACATCCCCAGGAAAAACATGTTGAAGTTGGAAAACTCAGCTAAGATATTGATGGTGAAAGTATGTTTTATTTCATCATTTATATCATGTGACTTTACAATCATAGTGAAACAGGGAGTTCACAATGGAGCCCCTTCCAAAAAAGAAACTTAGCTTTGGAGAACTTTTCTTTATGATTGTTAGATTACCCAGGTTTACAGAGAACCATTAAGAAACCCAAATTTAAGAGGGTACAAGCATCAGTTTAGTCACATGTAGTGTGAGCATTAGATTAATTTTTAGTGAGCGACATTATTAGTCATTGGGATTATTTTTTTCCTACATCATAAATTTTAATGTCACTAGTGGAAGAAAGCTTTCCCATCAAATGATCTCTTACATAAGAATAAGTGGGCTTACTGTTGGTTAATTTGTCACAGTTTTAATCATAGCCTAGGTTTTTCATAAAACTAAAAAACATGATTTGGCTCATTCTTCTTCAAAACAGTGAACATACTATCAATCAAATGCTGATATATGTGAGTTAATACGAAATAATCTGGTTTTAGTACAAAAAAATAAGAATAAAAAAGTGGATCCAGTCCCAATACTGTAAATGACTAATCTTATTTCAAACATCAGTTCAAGAGAATATTATATTTTGGAAAGGACTGATACCAACATAAAATAATATTAAATATTTGTATATTATTTATGAAAAATATAAGTCTGCTTCCTACTTTTCTAAAAGGCAATGCTTACTGTAACTATACATTATAATGATTTATTAGTGGTATTTGTAAACAATTATAATAACAGTTTATACCTAGAATTGCTGCAATTACATAGTCTGGTTTTTCACAGTAGTAGAAATCATTGTTGACCCGGTGCTAAAATTAAGTTTTTCTTGTCAATTGGGTATTAGGGGCTTTCTTTATGTCCGTTTTATTTGTAATTATGATTCCTAGTATCCATCTGTCTTTGTTTGTACCAATGTCTCCTTATAAGGAATTATAAAATAAAACTATAGAAACCTTTTTAAAAAATATGATGGCTGTGATGCAAGCTTAGTGATAAATAAATTTTTTCTAGGTGTTTAAAAATAAACCTGTAGAAAAAAATAAGTGTTGTGATCTACAGGAATTCAACTTGGCTAAAATTAATATTCATGAGACGAAGTTTCAGTACTAGATGTTCCTTCTGACCTCCCATTGACTCCTGAAGATCAAGTCATTTTAAAGGGCAATTAGTTTTCTGACAGGTTTAATTTTTACCATTTAAGAAAAAGAAAATCTGTACCTGGTTTTCATTTTTCTATACTTTATAACCTCTATGCAAAATGGGAACCAGACAGAGATTATTAAACCTGGCCCTAAATTATTATATTTTTCCCCCAACAGGAATCAATTCATTTACAGCTTTCCAGTTTTTCCAGCCTGCAAGAGGAGGATAAATCTAGGAAAGATGAATCTGAAAGAGAAAAAGAAAAGGATAAAAACAAAGATAAAACCTCTGAAAAACCCAAGATCAGAATGTTATCAAAAGGTGAATGTGAAAATATTTCCTTAACTTACTCGATTTGGGCACGTGCATAGTCACAGAATACATTCTAGATTTCACATGCATATTCACCTCCTACCAAACCCTGCATATAATTCTACATGTGTACGTACGTGCGTGTGTAAAAAATGTGAACTTGATTTTCTTTCTTTCTGTTTATGATGTCATTACTTGTGTTGCTAGAGAGGTTATTTTTCAGATCACATATTTCTTTGGATTCACATTTTAATCTCCTGTTGTCAATGACAAGCTTGTACAAAGGAATAAATATAAATCTGCCCTGAATTTAGGTTTCTTAGACCGATTAACTTGGATTGGTGAACAGTAATGAGACTGACTGTGATAGCTTAACTTTCATGTTTATCTTAAAAGACAGAGAATGGATTAGCAATTCTCAGTTAATAAGTGATATGGTCCCCAAGGTACACATGTATATGTCAGTGGAATACATGATTCACATTTTGTCTGGCACAGAATAATTTAGTATTTGCACCCATCTACTTTTACATAATGTGTATTTTAAAAATGCACACTTCTACTTCAATAAATTGCTGTCCAATAAAAGTCATGCCTTTACAAACCGAAAACCTGCAATTCTCACAGCCCAAAACAAAACTAAGTTGAAATGAGAGTCCCATGAGTAAACAGCCTTGCAGTAGACTTAGAAAAAAATGGGCAACTGGGAAAGAAGAGAGTATCTGGTTAACTGTGGAATGAAAACCACCTCTAACAGTTACGTGTTCTATAGCCATAGATCTGCTAATAATTGTTGCTTCTGCTGCGGAATATATAAAATCTAAGGTGTATATGACAGTAAAAAAGTTCAGGATTCTAAAACAGTTTTAGAAGTTAAACTTTGGACAACATTAGGATATTTAAAAGACTTGGGAATATTTCGTGTTCTCCTATATTTTGTACGAATTAATAGTCTCATAACAGAACATTCTCTTTTTTTGCCTTCTTTGTTTTAAAAGAGAAAGAGTTCCATGGGATCTCAAACTCTTGAGAGCTCCCTCTGTAGGTGGGCGTTCTGTCATGTGGAGTTTGTACCCTTGTTATTTACAGTGAAGAATGAACACGTGATATTTGACTCTACCTCCCCCCCACCCCAACACCTAGACTGTGCCCACTTCCCCTCCTGTGACATTTGGGTCTTTCCATAGTCAGAATTTATTGGGTGTTTTCAATTCCTGAATCTAATTTTCATTCTGATGTTATATTGCCAGGTTTCTAGTTTTGAAATATGTATTTTTATACCAACAGCTTCACCTAAAATTTATCTGAGCAGGAGGGAAATAGGAAAGGTTGGGGAAACCTTTTCCACTCCACCTTTCTGCTATCATTTCTGACAACTCTGACCTGCTGTTTGTTTCAGATTGCAGCCAAGAATACACGGATTCTACAGGCATAGACTTACACGAGTTTCTGATTAACACATTAAAGAATAATTCCAGGTAAATTATTAAATAAGCCTCTTATTTTTACGATCAAATAGAATATTACAATCAAAGTTATTAATCCAACACTTCTAAGAAAGCCATTGTAAAATGCAGATACCTTCCCTGACGTCTTAAACTTCTTCTATATTTTTGTCCTGCTAATGGTTTGCATGTTTACTTTTTATAGAAAGTCTTATTAACTGGGTAGTTATCCAATTAATAAATCATGGTTTAATAGCTCTGTGTTTCTAATCACAAAGAGATACTAAGGGGGAAAAATAAAGAATAAAAATTATTGATGTCACATAAGCCAATCATGCTTTAATGCAGCTTTGGATTCATTTACAGTCAATACTTGGCCTTGGTTTTGTTCCAGTTTCCTATTAATTTGAAATATACTATTTATTTGATATGTTTTATGATCCTAGTACCTTGCATGCCATAATTAATTTTAAGACTACAAAAAATTCAGATATTTCAAAATACTTAACAGATAAGATTAGGATTATTCCTTATCTTATTTATTAAGTATTTTGAAATATCTAAATAATCTTAAATATAATGACATATGTAAATGAATGTAAATGGTCAGCATATTCCAAAGAAGAGTTAGATACAGGTTTGTAGCAGCATACATTTAAGTAATCCTTTCCATACATTTAATGAATTCTTTAGGTCTTTGGAAATGGAGCATATCTAAAACCTTTTAAATCTAACATTTATTTTGCAGGGACAGGATGATACTTTTGAAAATGGAGCAGGAAATTATTGATTTCATTGCTGACAACAAGTATGTTAAACTGCAATGCTGGTTAATTTGATGATGTATCCTAGTTTGGTATTTGAGTTAAATTATCCATTCTGGAAAGATTTAGGGATAGATAAAACATTGTTTAATATGTTCCTTGATTTGTTAAATGGGGAAATTATTGGAGTTAGGAACTATATGCTGATGAGAATTGTTGCTTGGACCATGTGTGCTTCTGCTTGTTAAATTCCTGACAAAATGGCTATAAACAGGGGGCCACTGATTAGCATAGAGAAGCTGTAACAAGAAGCGACCCTTTTCATTTTTATTATAGTTTTTTAATGGGCTCCAGCTGGCTGCAGTCAGTTATGCCTGAAAATAATTGTGCTGCTTTCAGTGCAAACCGTGTAATGACACATCTCCATATAGACATCTGCAATTGCGTATTATGTCACATTATTTGTCTTGTGCCGGGCCCCGGTGACAAGGTAGCATGGACTAAAATACAATACTGTCCCATAGACATTGCCTTCTCTTTGGCAAGAGAAATGTGCAACTATGAAACAAAGATGCTTATTGTAGCTTAATCAATAAATCTATAATAAGTAGAAAATTTGTCTGGAAATTCGGATATTAAGAGATGCCAGAGCTAGAGTCTGTTTGGGAGGGGCCGAGGGAGGGACAATGGTGGGGCTAGGGAGGTCAGGAAGGGATAACATGGGGAGAAACGCCAGATGTAGGTGACGGGGGGATGGAGGCAGCAAACCACATTGCCATGTTTCTACCTATGCAAAAATCCTGCATGATCTGCACATGTACGCAGAACGTTAAAAGAGAGAGAGAGATGCCAGGAATGTAACAGGCTTAGTGGTTTAGATGAAAGAGAAATAGTTTTGTGTGTATACTTGTAAAATGTATTATGGGCAAAAAATGAAAGTGCTCATTCCACTTTTTCTTGCATTATGTTCCAGTAATCATTATAAAAAGTTCCCTCAGATGTCATCATATCAGAGGATGCTTGTCCATCGAGTGGCAGCTTATTTTGGATTGGATCACAATGTGGATCAAACAGGAAAATCTGTTATCATCAACAAGACCAGCAGCACCAGAATGTAAGCCCCATCACTGTACTTACTTAGCATTTTCTTTTTCTCCTATGGATTCATTTATAAGATCACAGTATAAAATTCACAGCACATGACATTTAAAATGTGCGGTGTTATTTATCTCTTGCTCTTATCAGAAGTAGTGTGGCATTTATCTGTAGAAGATTATCTGAGAACCAAGAAAGTTTATACAATTCAGGCAATAAAGTGGATTTATTTCCTGCTCTTTTACATAGCTTCTGAAACATAATTTTATTTCTTCCATCGGTACTCAATGAAATTACATACAAAGCTTTGAAAAATTTTATGTCAAAATATAACTTAAATTAAAAACAACAGATACCTTTAAAAGACCATGACATACACAGAATAATTGTTATTTTCTTTCTTCTGCTTTTTACACATATATCTTACTGTGGTTTCTGGAGTAATAAAAAGCTCTGAACCTAGAGGCAGAAATCCAGCCTCTAAAACCCAATTCTACTTACGAGTTGTGTGACTTGGAGCAAGTCATTTAAAATCTGCCATCTCAGTTTTTTCGCCTGTGAAATGAAAGTCTTGAGCTAGATGAAATATCTAAGACTTAGCTCTAAAAAGAGGATAAGTTTTTTCTCCTTAAAATAATTGTTTGTTTTTATCTTAATACCTGTTCATTGTTTCACTGAATCACCGAAAGCATATAACATGAGTAGTCATTTGCTTTGAAGCTTGGTGCTGTTTTTCTTGAACCCATATATCTTTTGAGTACAGTCTAAGCCACTTCTATCACAAAAGGCATGTTAAACTAAAAAAACTGCCCACATAAAGCATCCACTTTTATAATTTTCTTTTTCACAGTGTCCTTGGTAAACTGTCAATTGCATGGTCTTTAGGGATGTTCGTGAAGGGAGCTTTTGTGTCAAGCAGAGTATCATGGTTCAAATACTCTGTATTTTCTGCTCACTAGAGGTTAGGACAAGTGGGGATGGAGATGAGGCTCTTTCTCCACCCAAGCATCAGTCTGTGCTCAGCAGAGGTCTGGGGAAAGTCATAATGAAGAGAGCACAAACTGGGAGATCTGAGACCAAGCAAGGCTATTATTAATATCCCCAATGAGCACTCTACTTCTATGGGCTTCAAATTACTTATATATCTGCAGGATGGTTTGAACTGAATCATGTTAAGGGCCCTTGAAGTTTCAGAATCATCCAATCCTATAGTTGCATTCTACTGTGTTAGCACAACACATTTTAAAAATGTATCAGCTTCTCACTTTATCTGATTGTTGACAAATGTGCCTCATATTTGAATAGTAGAAAAAATTATGGTAACTTTTAAAGTCCTTTATGCCTTCCCTCTCCATCCAATACTCTTTGCTGTTGTTATAGTTGTGTTGTTGTTGTTTTTTCTTATTCATTGTTTTTTTAATGGCTTTTAGATATAATGCAGGGACATGCTGATTGCAAAATAGGGAAGCTGGTGACTACTTCCTTTTATTTTTTTCTTCTTCTTTGTCTATAAGGTCATAGCAAACATGGAAAACCTCCATAGTTCAAGCATATTACATGTGATATAGTGTCAACTGGTGGATAGTAGATTTATTTTTAATTCACACTGATTTTGCAATCACATAGTCATAAATACTAGTACATATGTTTTAGACATGTTTCCTTGGAGAATGACTTTGAGAAAATTAAGCATTATATCAAGACTCTTAGAAACTTTGAGTGCTGGCTCTAAACCTGCTCTGCCCAGTAGGTAGCCAAATATGGCTATTTACATTTCAGTTTACATGTATTAAGTTTATATAAAATTTAAACTTTAAAATTCAGTTCCTCTACCAGGTCAGCCACATTTCAAGTGGCTATTGGATAGAGCAGATATGGAACACTGATAGGATTTTAGAACTTTCTATTTATTAGCTCTTCTTTAAATCCTTGTGTTTCCTGCAAGCTCCCCAATACCAGTGGAGAACAGAATTTGTCCTTTAAAACTTTTATTTTCTAGCTAGTAGGTATCATATTATTAGAATTCTTCAGTTCTAGAAGAGTGCCAGCCTTTTTTTTTTTTTTTTAATCAATGGCCATTTAAAAATGGACACCACGTGTTCATGACTTTAGAAAGAGTTAAAAGTAAGTGTTTGCAGGGAACACCTCTTGAAGGTACAGTTAAACTAGAAGACCAGGGCTCAGTCTCTGGCTAACCCTTACTCTTACATACCACACTTTAGGCACCACTTCATAAGTCAAAGCAAATCATGCCTAAACAAAAAAGACAAATAACTGTATGTCATGGATGTGCAAGGTTTCTACTGAAGTGTTGAGCTTCAATTGAACAACATTTAATTCACAGCTGTCGAGTTCTACTGTTCTATTCTAACTACATTTCTGACCATCCTCTATGTGAGTGGCTCTTGAGGAGTATCGGTGGTTCATCCTCTGTTTGAGTAGTTCCTGAGGGGTGGTGGATAACTGATGTGTTTTAGCACAAAAAATGAGGATGAATTAAATGTCTTTATCGAAATAGGGACGAATCACAGTTTTCAGAACCTGAATCATTGTTGGCAATTTTAGTGAAAAGAAGTGTTTTTTTGTGGAAAATTACGTTTGATTTTAAGTCTGTTGCCATGCTCTTTGGGGTTGAAGTTCAAAATGGGGCATTATATCCACAACATTCTATTCAAGTTTTAGATGTCTTGGTTTTTTTGATTTTGTAAAAAATTTCAGATTTGTCTTATCAGGACAATCAACATGTCTTGGTTACAGGAACCATATTAACTTAGAAATATTTCTGGATTGAACTGTCTCCGTTTATTTGAAGGAGAGAATACTGAGATGACAGTTCCATGTGAGTTTTGAGTTTGGGGAATACTTTTTCAATGTATACACTTTTATGCTACTCCAATGCAAATACATGAAATGTATATTTCAATGGCACTGTAGCTTAAGAAAAATGCAGAAAAATGTGGCTGGGGAATGCAGAAAAATGTGGATTGAGGGTATTTTTGTTAACTGAAAGGTAGAGGGAAAAGAATCTCCTTTTATATTTTTCTTCTTCCTTGACACTTCACTACTCCTCTGATGTAAATGTTTAAATAATTGTAACTATTTCAGCTCCATATTGACTAGAATTTATTTCCCAGAATCCTGATTTTCTAGATGACAGGCAGTTTAAGTAATTATAGAGTGTGACTTGAGAAGATTAGGTTTTTCATGGAGAAGAAAGAGTTTCACATGAAGTTCAAAATATTCGGGTCATAACAATACACCTTGAGGATTACGTGTGTGTGTACTGCACTGACCTCTAGTATCTTCAATAATATACCCAGATGTAATCTATCTGATCTTTTATGATGAAAGAACTTGTCTCAGGATATATTTCTGTTTGTTAAATATCATCCGTCACTTATAATAACATTGCCTTCTGCTTGTTAATTTCTCTAAGCTCTTTACCTCTTATAACGATATACATTTACCTGAGGTAAATGTATATTGTTCCATTTAATACAAAAAATATATTAAATTTACAATACCCCATGTAAATGTATATTGTTAAATTTAATACGAAAAACACTTAAAATATAAGTATTTAAAGCTTCATTTTGCAGAAGAAGAAAATGAGGCACAAACTGAGTTTCAGTTTGAGGCTTACAGAGAAGCAATGGTTAGCATGACTGGGACCTAATCCTCATGTAAGTGTGTATTATTACATTTAATACCAAAAAAAAAACTTACAATATGAATAGTTAAATCTTCATTTTGCAGAAGGAAAAATGAGGCACAAACTGAGTTTCAGTTTGGGGCTTACATAGAAGCAATGGTTAGCATGACTGGGAAATAAACCAATGTGTCTAATATCATAAAGATTTTTTAAATAATCTAATTCTCTTAAAGCAAAAATACCCAGAAAATACTGAGTATTCAAGAACAGTCTCCAGATTGGTTGATGGTTTCAATCCTTTTAAGTCCTTTGTTGTCTGATAAGGAAATAGTGATTGATGGACAAGATATTTTTGAAGATTAACTCAGTGATATCATTAAGTAACAGAACCTTCCTACAATTTGATAGGTCTTGCTAGATTTGTTGTGCTTATTACCACCACAAGGTGATTTTTTTTTGGAAGAATGTGTGTGTGTGTGTATATATATATATATATATATATATATGTATATATATAATTTAAGCTTTACTCCATTTTACTATTTTTTCTAAGAATGAAAAAGCCATATTTATTAATTATGTTAGTGTAGGATATGAACTTATTTATTGTGTTATTACAAAATTACTGCGACAGGCACTATGTTCAGTTTCATAGTTTTATGTCACATCTACAAGTGCGGTTAAGAAACAGTGAGACAAGATGGAAAGGTAGTTGAAGTAAACTCAACTATCTAGAGATTTTACATTAATATATTCCAGTTTTCTATAAATTACCTGATAAAAGCAGAGATGTTATGTTTTTGCAGTATAAAATATACACAGACAAAACTTTCCAGATACTGAAAATATATTTTTAGCGACTACAACTCACCAACAAATATATGTCCAGCACCAAGACTTCAGTGTCTGTGGTCACACAAAAAATTACAAGATATGATTCTTGTCCTCAGACGTTTTATGCTATGCCTATGGATAGGTGAGTAACCCCGGAATCTCAGTCATCTTAAAAGTTGAAAAATGTAGTGCAGCTCTTTGTGTATCCAAAGTAGACATGTGACAAATGTCTAGAGAATAGCTCCATAATTGAAGGAACACTATACCAAATATCCAGCAGAAGGTATAAAGCAGATTCAGTGGGGACTACCTGCCCATCCATTTCATGGTTCAAATAGGCATTTCAGAAGACTTTGAGAAAGGCTAAGACTTAAACAAATACAGTGAGGAGAGGGATACATTGCAAGCTGGAGTGCAACCTGTAAATGAACATAAGGTAATTTCTGCATTTTTTGAGCATCTACTAAGGGCTGGGCAAATGTTGAGATGGTTGTGTTAGGTTCTCAGAGCCACCTGATGACAAGGATTTTTTT